GACCACCTTCAAGATTGACCACACCTGTGCCGAATTGTTCGCGAGATTGACCACTTGACTGTGGTCTCTGGTAATGCTCTATCACTTCCACAGGTGCGCCCCTCCCTTCTCACGGACGGCAACGGGACGACTCATCATCGTCATCCACTTACTACGCCCCGCCCCGCGAGCCGGATTCGCATAGCAAGGGCGGCCCCGGGACCAGGAAGAGGCTGTCATGCACTCTGTCATGTAAGTATCCGTCTAACCGTTGATCTTCCCACTCGCCTGACCCTAACCCCTGTCTCTGTCTGTTTCATCGCGCACCCAGTTCGCAGCTGCAAGTGCGGCAACAGCGGGTTAAGGTCGCCACAGTGGAACAGCAAGTAAACATGGCTGTGCTCAAATACTCAGCTTCTAGCGATATCCAATGTGACCCGGCCTGATCAAGACTCTGGTTCTATTCTCATTCAAATGTATGTATCGATCTTGATCGTTGGGCGTCATCTCACCTTGCCCACCCCTTCCTCGCAACGCGCCGAGATACCCTGCTGTTTAGTAGACCGTGCTCTGGCGTGGACGGTATGGTCCCTGCTATCCGTATCGTCCAATCAGAGTCGGTAGGCCTTCACCCACTTCTGACGACTCTATCAACCGCAACTCACAACAACTCTAGACCACACCACCCACCTCCATATATCGCAAATTTACGCCTTGTACACCTCCATACCATTTTCCTTGAAATATTCACCGCCATACAAGAGATTCTATGACTCCTCCGCATTGTCTTGGAACCAAGCCACAAGCCACATCTACCTCCCTGAGAAATGTGGTTAGGCTGTTACTTCCTTGTTGAGTCTCGTATTACGCGTGTCAGGAGGTCCTCTATGACTTCAATATGAGCTAACCTTCCACAAAGCTTCTAGGTCACCGTGCTTAAATCCTGTTTCTGGGCAAGACTATTTCGGGTCGGACTCTCTGGGCAGGCATGTTTTGGACGTCTCATCAAGACCGTCAGGAAATTATTCGCAGGCCGGTTTCGCAACTAGCCACGTTTCTTAAGTCTCCTGCCTGGAGGCTAGCAGATGCCTGTCTCGCTTTTCTGAAACAAAATTCCATTAAACGTCGAGTGGCTTGCGCCACTGGCCATAACTAAGAAGACATAGTCTGTTTCTTCCCGTGACTTCTCACCTGCACGCACTATCTACACTGTCAGATATCATCCGACTCCAAGAGCTTTTTCCGCTCGGTGTCACAAAAATTTCCATCACTCATCAAGTACTATACTGGTCAATTTTCAGGGCCTGGTGTGTGGTGTTCCTTGTCGTGTTCACCAAGCTGTATCAAATGACTCAAAACTGCCTCCTTGACAGAAAGTCGTTGGCTTATGCTTAAACTTGTAAAACACCAAGAACGAGCATCCTCTCCCTAGCTGTCGAGTGACATCCATGCCGTGCACCTTGCCTTCCGACGGTTTCGGCTTGATGCCACTCCAAAGCAACCAGCTCTCGCTGAAGGGCCATCATCCTTTCTGGATGATGTATGGGGCCAATGACTATACCTAGAGTGCTTGTACACCATCACCTGCACACCATCTCAGACGGATCCCCACACACCCCATGTCACCACCACGAGGCCCATTAAGAGACCTGCAGCCACCATTTTCGGACATATATGGCTTAGTCTGGTTCATATAATAGTCGATATTTTGCAAATCCCATGATACACTCCACCCGACTCTGCCTTACCCTTATGTGTGTGATGGTACACCCCCACCCTCAACGGCATTGAAATGTCCGTGTTGGTGTCATTGGGCGCGAAGGTAGCACCTTGTCGCGGCACTCGTACGTTTGCTTGTCGATGGTGACTCCCGGACGTCTCGGAAGTCAGGTAGTAACCCTGCTCCTCCGGCCGGCAGTCGAGAAGCTTAGACAGTCCGGAGATGTGATGTCGATCCCGCAACCCTGTGAAAGAAGCAGGGGTTTTAGGCTCTTGTCGATCAGGTCGCAGGGCGGCCTTCCAGGATACTTGTCTCCGAACAGAAGGCTTGGCTGGCCTCGTCATACTATCCACCGTGACATGATAAGGGCGAACTGCTGGTGCAAGTTGGCCGCACTACGCGACCGTTTTGCTCGATAGTGATGACGTTTAGAAACTCGATGTGATGCAAACTACACACCGAGTGTGTGCGGCCGTGATAGTGGACGGATCAGCAGCTGGCACAAACATCCTCCTAGAGGGTGGGTCGGGGTTCTAGATTCGCCTCCCTGTTGTCATTACTCGCATCTTTGTCTTCTGGGTAGAGGCTCGCGGGTTAACGCGGTTCAGCATCGCTCACGGGGTACCTTGACGTTATTCCCATATGAAATCCTGATGGTGTGAAATCCGCCTTGATTTCTTTTCGATTACGCGCCCTCAGACTGGGCGCGATACGACGCTGTCACCCCCAAACTTGATCATCTTGGTTCCATCATTTACTTACCTCGGTATTGAGAAATGTGCGGAAGATCATCCTATTTGTCCACAATGCCGTTACTATCCTGTTAGCCTCACCAAGATCCTAAGTCCACCTCAGCGCTGTTTGCATATTATATTCGTCTGAGTTCCATATACAGCAACGCGATGTTCGTAGATACGGATGGGCAGATCGCGGGAGATGGACATGGATGTCACAAGCGCTATACCTATAATTGCCATAGTTTGATATACGGGAAGTGAGCCTGGGTTTGTATGCCGGCCCGTACCACATCGTCTCTGTGTAAGTTCGTCCACGCACGGACGGGGCCGCAGAGACCGTTCTCTTCGCGCTAGAGTTGTCAAGAATGGCTAGTGAAGCGAGCGAGACATGCCTGAGCAGGCATGTGACCTCTCACGCCGGACTAAGACTCGGGAGACTGGGTCATGCGGTGCGGCAGAGCCTCCGAGATTGGTGAGGTGAAGAATGCAAAAGGGGTTCACGGTAAGCAGAGACACGATGTAGCTCGTGTCCCGTAACTACCCGATCCCATGACATTGATAGGGGTGGCAGCGGGATGACTGAAATCACCGCTCTAGCGGCTCAGCGCGCGGGCTGTCGAAGTCTAGGCGGAGCAGGTCTTCCCGAAGGGGTCGGTTGCATATACGTGAGTTTGGGCTTGGCTCTTGCCGCCTGAAGCAAGGGAGACCCAGCCTCTTGGGAGTATAGTCAAGACTGAGATAAAGACGAGTAGGAGTGGCTCTATCAACATCGATCCTTATGGCGGATCTGCGTTCCTCATCGCTCCCTCAGGACAGGTGTCTGTCTTCCTAGCTGACAGGATATATTTAACTTGAAGAGTATCGTCATCAACTCAATGCTACGCATGATCCCTCAACTCTTGAATAGGTTTTAGAGTCATTGTCACAATCAAATTAATACAGTGGCATAGTTTACTTGAGCGACTGATATGATAAATTCCGGTCAGCCTTGCTTCTGACGAGCTAGGTCAAACCTGATGTAGTACACCGGCTGCCTCACACTGCTCACATTCGCAAGAACATGCCATGTATATCCACGTACTATGACATATTTGGCCTTCTTGGTGTCAGGGTCATGAGGTCTTTGAGTTCGCTTTGATGGTGTCCTCCTTGATCAAAGATGATGGAGTTTCAGCCATTTTCGTATCTGCGGGTTTGCCACATCGGTTGTGAAACTACGCCAGCCCTCTGCGTAGATAAACCATATTTGAAGCGGAAACAGCGGCACTTCCGCGTACAATGAGACAATATAGAGATCATCATGCTCAAGAGGGTGTGCATGTTCGGAACAAAATTCCGCCAGCGCTCCTGCATAGAAACTTACCGGCAGTGTCCATGTCCAGGAAATTCCGGAAGGTCAAGCTCAAAGAGTGCTTCTCTGTGACATTTCAAATCCTAAGGCATACGGTATTCTAGAGCACATGCTGCGATGACTGTTCACCACCTGGTATGTTTCTTGGGAATACTCAGTTGCAACAAATCTGCTTTGAAGATTCCACGAATGTGTCTTAGCGGAAATAGATATCGAATGACAGAATCGTAAAAACTTATTGAACCAGTCAATTCATTCGTCGCTCCTTCATTGGATTAATAGATAAGTTATCGGAGAATAGTTTCTATTTGTATGTCGCCTATTTGGCGTGATTACCCATGATATTGTTGTATAAACAAATGAAGACATGCCTTGACCTGTCAACTTCCTTGACATACAGACGCTGTTTGTCCTTCAACGAAATAACAGAATGTTTGCTTACACCAGGTAGACAATAGTATGATGGACTGCGTGCTTTGTCAGACGTAACAACTTATAGTTGCGAATGCTAATTTCGGGGGTATCCTCATTCCTGTCCATCGAGCCATTATCTTTTCTCATTTCGAAACGAGCTTCATCACGATTGACTGCATTTGACGGCTGGAGTACTCGTCCCATTTGAGACAAAGGACATGAAGGCTAAAGGTCATGTTCGACATAGCCCACTAGAATAGATGTTTAGCCAGTGTATGGGCAACAGTTGCTCAAAGGCTAGTTCCCATTCCTCAATGTCAAAGACATCTATTTGATTAAAGTAAAAGATGTGACGGCAATTATTTTGACTTTCATATTAAAAAAATGGCAATGTCACAAGCTGATAGTTTATACGTCGGCTGAGAACACGGATCAGCCTTGACAGGTATTGAGCGGAAAGATACACCTTGTACTGGAGCTCATGAAGTTACAAGAGTTTCAATCATGAGGGCTAATAGCCCAAACAGTGACTGTGGTTGCCCTTGAATGATGAATAGCTATATTAGTAAATTCCTCATGATAGTTCGACCGTGCTTCGCACCATAGCCAAGATACTCGCAAGAAAAGTTGGCCGAGGTGTATGTGCAAGCGGCTCTGGGTGAGATCCCCTGTAGTGGATAGCAAGACACCCCGCTATCGGCACGAGTCACAGCATCACACACCAAACTTTTTGTCCGGGGAGGCAACGCACGCTGCTCCATTTCCCACGGCAAGTAGCAACATTGACGAAACGGCGCTGATGGCTTCTTCCCCGGCGCAGCAGGACTCCCAGCCGGCCAAGAAGGGCCCGAGTGCCCTGCGGTCTATTATCGCTGGCTCGACCGCTGGAGCGATTGAGATTGGTTTGTTTGTCCTGGTCTTCTTCGAGTGACGCAGCTTGTGCTAACCACCTCGTTCTCGCCAGCCATCACATATCCCGCCGAGTGTACGTGCTGCTGCCCAGCCTCAATTGATATGACGATCTCGTTACCTAACACCTGATACAGTTGCGAAGACCAGGACGCAGCTCAACCGCCGCCTAGCCGACGGTCAGAAGCTGCCATGGCCGCCGTTCGGTAAACAGTGGTATGCGGGATGCACCACCCTCATCATAGGAAACTCCTTGAAGGCTGGAATACGTATGCGATCTGGCCTTCCCAATACCTTGAGGACAGCTGCTGACAGCCAACTCTGCAGGATTTGTCGCATTCGATCAGTACAAGAAGATGCTCGCCGATGCCGAGGGTAACATCTCCGGGCCGCGGACGGTGATTGCTGGCTTCGGCGCCGGAGTAACCGAGTCCCTGCTTGCAGTCACGCCGTTCGAGAGTATCAAGACGACGCTGTGAGTGCCGCATGGCACCGGACTACCGTGTCTGTTGGTATACTGATGGTTGGCTGTAGGATCGACGACAGGAAGTCGGCTAAACCGCGACTGCGCGGATTTCTTCACGCCGTACCCATCATTGCGCGCGAGCGTGGCATTCGAGGCTTCTTCCAAGGCTTCGTCCCTACGACGGCCCGACAGGCTGCTAACAGCGCAACGCGTTTTTCATCATATAACTTCCTCAAGCAGATGGCGGAGTCATACACCGCACCGGGCGAGAAACTCGGGACTGTCGGCACGTTCGCCATGGGTGGTCTGGCTGGTCTTATCACAGTCTATGTCACTCAACCGCTGGATACAGTCAAGACTCGCATGCAGAGTATCGAGGCAAAGCAGGTGTATGGCAATAGCTTCCGTTGCGCAGCTATGATCTTTAAGAACGAAGGCGTCTTCACTTTCTGGAGCGGCGCGTTACCGAGACTGGCACGACTAATACTGAGCGGCGGCATTGTCTTCACCATGTACGAGAAGAGTATCGACTTCATGGATCGCATGGACCCCGACAGGAAGTACATATGAGCGTGGGAAAATAGAAGGGGATTCTAGGGAACTGAAAAGCAAAATGGGGCCTAGTAAAGGCGTTGGGGTTTCATATACATTGGTCATATACCACATGTTTTTGCGACCATCGATGATGTCGCGTTGTACTGTACATAGGCAGAGTCCTGGATCTAATACATCCTCTGCCCACCTAAACGCCAAACCATGCTTGAGTAATACAATATGTTCACAGATCGTCCACAACCCTCGGCCGTCGTCGGCTTCATCACTTGTGTTATGACCAAGTCTTCACCGTTCACTGAAAGCGAATAAGGCCGCCTAGTCTCTTTCCCACCCGCCCAAGCCAGCTGCGATTCGGGGCTTCTTCCAACTCGGTCAAGAGGTCTTTGTAGTAGGTAGGGTTACTCCTAGGCTCCATCACATTGCCCAATGTGCGATACTTCGTCTGGTAGCGGCCCTCCAACAGTGAATACAGGGCATTGACCTGCTTCAGCTCTGCTTTTTCGTTGAATGCTGCATTCGGTGCAGCGATCTGCTTCTCGAGCCGCTTCTTGAGGACTTCTTGAAGCTGGCAGTCCGGCCGGAGGTGGTCCTTCGGCCATTGCGCCAGGGCGCGCTGGTAGTGTTTGTACGCGACCTGTGAGATTTGTTCGTCAACGGATTGGAATGGAATGTTTGAGCAGGATCGCTATTTACACTTCTGACCGCACTGGACATCTTGACGATTGTCGCCTACGATGGCCCCATGGAAATCTGGCCGTGGTTTTGTGCAGCTGAGCGTATAGCCCTCTTGAAGTTGTCTGACGTCGACGACCTTGGTGAACGAGGCTTCTGGGCCCAAGCTCTAAGAAAAATTGGTGATATCAACGCTGAGAAGGGCCCGTTACAATTGGCTGCATAGGTTAATTAGCGGCGTGTAAGGCTTCCGACTGCCGACGAAGCGGATGTGGCGGTGCACAGTCTCTCTGTCCTAACTATGGCAAGGAGGCCCCCGGATTTCCGCGCCATTCTGCGGTGGTTCTGTCGTACTGAGTTGGTCAGCGACTCAGGACAGCGTTAGTGGGCATCAGGCGGCGTCTGCGACAGTCAAAGGCAGGCTTACGAGTCCCTGACCTGAATTGCTTCATCTCCTGCATTCCCGACACTCTCTTCCACAACTCTCCTTGGCCATTTCTACGCCTTCTCTTGCTTTTCCCTTACACTGTCGCGCATCTGCGATACGCGAACTTCAATTTCCTTGACCTTGTTCATACTGAGAGACCGACCTCTTGATCTCTCCTTCCAATAGCCTCGAAGTGGCAATAGGGGACCGGTGAAACACCGTCGCCGTCCCCCAGTCCGTCCCCCAGAACGACACAATGTCAGGACGGTACGAAAGGGTACGTGGTATTTCTGGGACGCTGTATTCTATTGACACGCCGACTGACATTTTACTCAACAGGTGAACGCCCACGATGACGATGAACCCGACACACCAGTCACTGCGGGACAAAGGCCGATAGAGCCGATACCGAACTCGCCTCCTCCATCCTTCCATTCGCGAAACTCATCGATCTCGTCCAGAGAGCGACAGGCGAGAGTCGATTCTACGCTTGCCGACGCATTCGACACCGAAGGCGACGAGAGCGACGACGAGGCCGATGATAGGCAGCGGCTTGTACGAGGCAATTCTTTCCCAGTGGCCAACCTGGGCGGGCAGCCGGCAGCAAACCCTTCATCTTCAAGGCCGGCTGTCCCAGAGAGGCAGACTACGCAGTTCCCGTCAGCAGCTCCTGCCGCCGCCGCTGCAGGGTCAAATAGGATATTCGGCAGTGGCATCCAGTCCGATGGTGTATTCTCGAACTTAACTGCAAAGCCCGAACGAGGAGCGAATGAGAAGGAAGAGCAGCCTCCCGTAAGTCAACATGAGTATTTGTTCTCAGTGCTAGTATTTCCATGCTAATCTCGTACAGACATACGAACAAGCGGCAGCAGATGCTGCTCCACCATACTGGGAGACGACCATTCTAGCCCCAGGCCTCGGCGGACCCGACGAAGTGTATATTGATGGCATGCCTGTCGGCTCCGTGTTCAGCTTCGTCTGGAACGGCATGATCTCCATGTCATTCCAGCTCGTCGGTTTCCTGCTCACTTATCTCCTCCACTCGACACACGCTGCGAAGAATGGCTCACGTGCAGGCCTGGGCATCACGCTGATCCAGTATGGCTTCTACATGAAGGGAACCAGTGGCTCGGGCGCGGGCGGCATGGGCGGTGAAGGGATGGGCGGCGATTCATCGGACGGCTACACGAGCCCGCCGGACCCAAACTCACACGACTTCGATCCGGGCAGCGTGAACTCTGGGAGTGGTGGAAGTGGTGGTGGTATTTCTGACATTGCGAGCTCGGACTGGGTTGCTTACATTCTCATGATTGTTGGATGGTTCATTCTTATTCGGGCGGTCAGTGACTACTTCAAGGCGAGGAGACACGAACAGCTGGTGTTGCAGAGCCCGGACCGGGGTCTTGGTATTCCTATCATTGCCGAGGGAGAGAATCCCGAGCGGGTGGTATGACATGCCGATATATTCAGCGTTATTGTTGTTTCATAAAATGGAGGATATATACAATCAGTATGGCCGGCCGACGGCTACTTTGCGTCTAATGCTAGCCGCATGGTATCCACCAGCCATTGCATAGCTTTACGATTGCGTTAGATATAAAAGCATTCTCCTCGCATCTTCAGGATACGTTCTGCTGTTGAGTTTCTGATCGATATGAGTGCTCTCTCCCTCGTAGGCTCACTATTACGGTCAGGGATAGAAGCCTTAGTATGACCTATGTCCTGGTCATTAAATGATGTTCAGTCGGTGTTAACGGCTTGCTTCTTCCGACCTGATTACCATAGGGACTATTACTCACATTTACCATAATACGAGACTCGAGTAATGTTTGCAAAATCGAGTGATCTTAAGTGGCGTGCCAATAGCGTCTATTAACAAAACTTACATCAATCCATCTATGCTGCATGGGTCAGCACATTACTTTAGGTATGTTCTCACTATGATAAGTGCGGGGCAGGTGAGGGGTGATATGAAGCTCTCCGTATGGGGAAGCTCTCTCTTACAACATAAAATATCAGTTCATCAACCATACCAAAGTTCCCAATTATCCGTGAAACAAAGAGACTCAACTTTTGTGATTTCGCGATCCATCTAACTGCTTCTCACATTCGTATTTCCATCATTCCTAGAGTCTGGGTCGCAACTGCCCCTTACTAAACCCTTGCATTTAGTCGAAGGTTCCCTACAAGCTTGATTCACGCATCTCACTCCGAATATCGATCTGTAACGCCGCTGCTATAGTAGACACCAAAACGTGGCGTCCATCAAGCAAAGATTTCTGAGGCTCCTTGCTAGCCTGCCTACTCCCTTGACCCAGGGACTCAGATCATCCGCCCGTCAGGGCGCTCAGCAAAGAGACGGCATCAACACCATGGCGTGGAGAAGCTCTGGCTCTTCTAACAAGGCTCTTATCGAGAACCTGTGGAAGAATGAGCTCATTACCGATTCGAGAGTTAAGGAGGCTTTCCTGAAGGTACTGGATTTCCTAATTTTGCCTGTACGTCACCCGCAGGACTCTAAATATCTGGAAATAGGTCGACCGCGCGCATTACGCTCCCGCCTCTCCGTACGAAGACTCCCCCCAGTCTATCGGCCATGCGGCGACCATATCTGCACCCCACATGCACGCAGCCGCCATCGAGAAGCTCCTACCCTTCGTCATACCATCCGAGAAGAACCCCGCGCCCCGCGTCCTCGACATCGGCTCCGGCTCCGGCTACCTCACACACGTCCTCGCCGAGCTAGTAGGCGACAAGGGGACCGTCATCGGTCTGGAGCACATCCAGGCACTCCACGACCTGGGCGAGGAGAACATGAAGAAGAGTGCAGAGGGCCGAGCGTTCCTGGACTCAGGGCGCGTGAAGTTCCGCGTAGGCGACGGACGCAAAGGCTGGGTCGAGCCGGACGAGGACATACGCTCGGCGGAGCAGGACGTGGTGGAGACGAGGGGTAAGGGATGGGATGCCATCCATGTCGGCGCGAGCGCCGTCGAGCTGCACCAGGAGCTCGTGGACCAACTGCGTGCCCCCGGCCGCATGTTCATCCCGGTGGACGACGGCGCGGACGGCTGGAGCCAGCATGTCTGGGCGATCGACAAGGACGAGAAGGGCGAGGTCACCAAGAAAAAGCTGTTCGGCGTACGCTACGTCCCGTTGACGGACGCCCCGAAGTGATCGTTCCAAGTCAGACTGAGCTTTGATCAACCATTGCTGTCGATTTGCAGGAGTGCGACCCTTGCGGTGACTATATTACCGCCTAAACCCTACTGCCGTTGAGCGTGTCGTGAAAAGTAATATAACCGGGTCCGAGATGGTAACTCTGGAGCTTTTGGAGCTTTTGGTGGATCAACTTGCTCGTGGTTGCTGAAGAGGTAGCTTATCCGTTATGAGTGAGTAGCTCATAAATGTACATCAAGTTAAAATATTCTCTGGGTGGATGTAGTTGTCGATCTCTTGTGCCAAATTTGTAGCGCCTTCTGAGTGTAAGTGGTCGATCCATATGATCTGTTTGGCTCTCGAGATAGTCTCGACACCGGATAAGAGACCCATTTGCGACATCAAGGCTCCAGTGCTGTGCATAGTACTTTGGCGTTGCTCATCAGAACCGACCAGAGCAACTGTGACGGTAGCCCACAGGACGAGTTCTAAGGTATCTTCCGAGTAGCGGCTGATATCATGTTGAAGAAGCTTGCAAAATCTCTCACATAGTTGCGCCACCTCTGTAGCTGGGAGACTGAACCGCAACTTCAGAGCAGCCAAGAGGGCTAGGCAGGCAAGCCTTGTTAGCTCGACTATTATAGCCACAGGCGATTCATACTGTAGATTGCTGCCGTTCGGTAGCCTTGATATCGACAGTGAATGGTGACTGGCCGGTCCGATGATTCTGACAGCATTGACATCGCTTTCCCAGAATCCTGATTGATTAGAATTCGAGTTGACTGTGGCCGCAACCATGGACATCAGGGCAATCGCTTCTGTGATCGGAACGAACTCAACAGATATCTCTTCAAGCCTCTCCATTAGTGTTGATAGTTGCGATGGGCTGTGATCATCGACTATGAGAGCCTCTTGGTCTAACTCTGGCGGGAGTGCGAAGCGAGGTTGAATGTCGTGAAAGGCTGCTCCGAGTAAGTCAAGCCTAGGCTTTGTCAGATTATTCTTCAGGGCCACATAGCACGACGATTCCGGAGACTTACCAAACAGCTAGGATAGGCAGATTATACCCCATCCCCTGGAAGCCTCCCCGAAGGCGGTATATTTGTTCCAGCCCATTCATATGCGTGAACCACTGGGCCCAATTACTATAGTTTGCCTGGGAATTACATCAGCCATGACGAAAGCATGCTCGTCGTCTTGTTTGTACTCACATCTTTGCATGCTAAGCCAAGTATTGTGCATACTGTGGCCTCGCTAACCCGGCTAGTTTCATCTTCGAGATAATACGAGAGATGCTTGAGAGCTCGCGTGAGGTACTTGACCGATTCATTGTCATACATGAAGTCATACCCTGCCCGACGCCTCAGCTCGTTCAAAAACACGACGCCGTGTGCAAGTGAGAGGTTGAACGTAGCAGGGTCAGCAATAGCCATCCTCAGCCATATGATGCGGAATGGCCTATATTTGCAGTCCATTTCACTCCGCACTAGACGTAGACTGTCAGGTCTGTATCGCCAATGATTAAGTTGGTCTCTTACTGAAATGTAGAAGCTCTAAAGCTCGTTGATCTGGTTCAACTGGGTAGCTACCCACGAAATTGAGAGACGAAAGAACCCGGAAAGATGCCTTTGCTTCTCTCCTGCGTGTGAGCTTGCCTGAATGGGGTTCAGGCCTTCGCTCAACTTCACCGCTGCCTGTCTGTCCCGGGATAACAACTTCCAGGGGGACGACATGATGTCGTGGGCGCTGTCTTCTTGAACGTCCGATATCTTTCATTACATGACGGCGGATCCCCGTCTGCACCTTGCGGTCTCGAATGTCATCCGGGTGAGTGAGGTGCACGAACGCGAGGCTTCCGCGCTGCGAGTGCGTCGGAGGATGCATGGCTGACCTGCGTGGGCTTATGACGGCGCTATCGGCTGCAGTCGAAACCGAACCAGATTCCAATGGCTCCTTAGGCTTGTAGCCTTGTCATGATGGCTCACATGGAGACCTCATGTAGATAGTATGCTGTTCAGTGTTGTTGTTTAGGGTCAATTGGCTAGCGATCAGAATTTGTCAGGTAGGCTCGTTAAGCGTGCATGACGCCTGCCCACCTACAGCGCTCCAGTGGCTGTGGCGCGCTACTCAGGCTAACGGAACTCCCACGCTGTGCTCGTGTGAGTAAATACCCTACCCTCGAAATGATACATTTAAGTTGGAAGGAAACGAGAGCCAGAATAATTGAAAATACATAATTGGTATTACTTCTCGTTTGACTATTCTGAATATTGAGTTATAAGTTTCGTGCATTGCTCTGTTTTTACGTATCTCACGGACTGACATACATCTACGAGTTGGCATTCTGAATTAGCGTTCCAAGGTTGACAATGTTGCCAAAAGTTGAAGTGCTTTCATTCGATTACATCTTTTGCAAACCACAAATCAAGTTGTTACTTGATACTTATCTTATGAACGAGCATACAACAAGAGACATTGCCACTCAGGGCTGGGTTCATCAACGTATTGAGAGTTTTGCTGCATGATTTATGAACCTAATGGCATTAATAAACACCAGGAGACACAAAACTTGCTTCACTACTACCAGCCAGAACTCTTAATCAGCTGTGGGCTATAATCCAACAAGGAAAGTAGGATTGTATTCTGCCTCTCATTTTGCTCTTCTCCGAACGGGTGAAATAACAAAATGGCGAGCTTATGGGTGCTCGGTGTCGAATATGGGTTCACCGGTATCCTTATTCCAAGCCTTTGCGGAAATACACACGCTCATACCCAGCGTCAATCTTGCGCTCTGTTTCCTTGAAACCCATTTTCGGATAGAGAATTAGATTCTCAAACATCTTGACGTTGGTGTAAAGAGTGATAGCCTTGGCTCCTTGTGCCCGTGCCACGTCTTCGGCGTACTTCATCAGGACCCGCCCATAACCGCGACCCTGAGCCGTGGGATCTACAACCAGATTGTTGATTTTGATTGAATCGGCAGCGCCGTGAAGGTCAAGCACAATGGATCCGACCACTGTTTTGTTGTCGTTTGTTTGAAGAACAAATACGTCTTCAGTGTTGATGACTTCGGCGTAGTCGGTCAGCATTGGTGCTGGAGGTTTGCCAATGCGCTCGATATATTTTGAGTATGCAGCGACCACCATGGACTTGATAGCTGGTGCATTTTCTACTTTGGCTCTCACGATCGAAACGCCTTCGGCGGATGATCGAACTGAATCGGCCATCGCTTGAATCTTAAAAAGCCTGTTGGGGGCAGGTGTAGAGCAACCGAAGTATGTCAAGAATATGTAAATAAGTAACTCCAATCAGGAGCCATGAAACAAGTCAGTCACCATTCCTTTCAACGTTGGGATTGTCATCTGTCAATGTGTGAAGTTGTGACTCTGAGAGTGAATCATAGTGGGTCGCGGTATCGGATCGGACATCGGCTTCGAAATGATAGCGCTAATCTTGAGGCTCTACTCTATCAGTGTAAATGATCCAAAAACCAAAAACCCTGAGACAAACAGTGGCTTATCCGGCTCGTCGGGGAACGGCGTAGCGGACCGTGTGAGCTCTAACTCAACAAGGGTAGTGCTCCTAGAGCGCGTATCCCCTGGAAACTACTTGGCACCACTGCTTATGCTGGCCTGCAAAGCATCTGACCTGGAATAAGTCTTCACGTTCATTCTGCTGCGTTTCTTGGTCGCGATGCATGAAGATTTTTCTTGGAATGGCGAAAGTCACTGAATTCGTGAGAGTTATTTGAACTTGATGGAAGACGATGAGAAGTCCTAACAAAGTGTACTGATGCAGTCACAGTTGACGCCTGCTCCAACTTTAGTTGACATTGGGTTGGAGACTATAGCGAAACCCGTTACGCGGATGCACAGATGAGGCACAGCAACCTATTTTCGCAAATTGAAAGAGCCCAAACCACTGGGCAATGGGAACAATGTCACCACTTCCTTGGCACTCAGCGCACCGGACTGGATAAGCTGGGACTCTCGGCACCGCATTGCCAATCGGCCGAACCCCCAATCCAGTCTATTAGCTCGTGTTGTGCGGAGTAACAGGGCGACTCGCAGGGGTCTCTAGGCATCCAGCGGCACAGTTCTAGCCGCCTTGATTGATGCCGGGCAGGATCATGTTAATCAAAGTTCTTATACAAAGGCGGCCGCCCCCAATCTCCAACTTCGTGTCTTGAGCCTGTTTGTAAACTTATCAGCATAATTCCGGACTCCAGGGCTGTTGTCTCGAAAGATCATTGTATAACATCTCCCAGGGGAGTGTTTACGGAAACGTGAAGGAACACGCATCAGGAAATGGCACGTTCATCGATCGCGGCAGCAGGCCTTGCACTCCTTGGAGTGACATCGGCTCTCGATCTCAGGAATCTGCCAGCCGCATCTGCTTCTGAAGGATTCGTTCATGTGCCTCTTGGAGCTCAGAAAGTCGATTTTGCTCACCTTTCTCGGAGAGCTACTGCTGGAACTGCCGCGACCGACCTGCGGAATCTGCAGACATCGTACGCTATCAACAGTAAGCACTGGTTCTCTATCGTGACATCTTCATGATGGGTTATCATGACGACTGTCTTCCTTCCGAACTCCAACTCACTGTAATTAGTTTCCATCGCCGGACAGCAGACCACTGTTGTGTTGGATTCTGGCTCCTCAGAGCTCTGGGTTGATCCGGATTGTTCAACAGCAAGCCGGGCTAGCGGTGGTGATGGCGAGAATGAGACAGTGGATACGCCCACGACGGACCCAGCATTCTGCAGGGCGGTCGGTCGATACGACCCTAGCAAGTCCAACTCTGCGCAGAAACTGGATGCCGGCACGACATTTCAGTATGCGGATTACACCGCTGTCACGGTTAACTACTATTCGGATGATATAAGCATTGGAGGTACGTTGGGACCTGTGTGATTGAGTACGAGATGCCAAGCTGATCTTTTTAGGCCTCACCATTCAGGACCAGATATTTGGGGTTGCAAATGCATCAAACCAGACTGCCCTTGGCATTATGGGTATCGGCCCATCGTCACTGGAAGGCTTCAACAAATCAAAGCCCTACTCACTGATCTTGGAGAGTCTAGCAACACAAGGCCTGATCAACAGCAGAGCATTCAGCCTTGATCTTAGAGATTATGACAACTCGACAGGTATTTCTCCAAGTAGAAAAGGCATAGAAAATGTTACTCGTGACACTAACAGTCGAATAGGATCCCTCATCTTTGGTGGCGTTGACAAGGGAAAGTATATCGGAACGTTGGACAAGATTCCAATTCAGACTCAACAGATGACTTTCGGTGGCCAAGATTACGCAGTTTTTGGGTATGCTACATGACTTATAATTGTGCGTAACTCGATGCTAACTGGATGTAAAGTTATTGGGTAACCGTCACATCATTGGGACTTACCCAGCCCGGGTCAAAGTCCTCCAATGCCTATACAGTCCCTGATGGAAGCTTTGTGGCAACGCTGGACAGCGGAACCAGCCAAATCCTACTACCAGAGGGCCTCGCCTCTCAGATCTGCTCAGATGTCAACGGAACCTCAAGTGGAGATGCTGGCGGCTGCACCGTCGATTGTAGTGTCCGTGACCTGCCCGGTGGTCTTGATTTTGGCATCAATGGAAAGACAATCCAGGTAACATACCAAAATCTGGTCAGCGCATTTGAGTACCAAGGTCACACCTACTGCTTCCTCGACGCTTCCACCAGCGGAGTCGACACAACTCCACCAACTTATATTCTCGGATGTAAGCATGCCATCATTCACTCCTAACGACAATCTGACTGACATTCGTAGCACCTTTCCTCCGTGACACCTACGGTATGTAGTATCGAGACGAGCTCCATCTAAAGATCTCAATCGCTGACTTTTTCCTAGCCGTGTTTGACTGGGACAATCAGAACGTCCATCTTGCTCAGGCTGCAGACTGTGGTAGTGACATTGTAGCAATTGGAAACGGCACAAATGCGGTGCCTACCGACAAGGGCAATTGCAAGACAGACTCAGGGTCGATCCACTCGGCCGTGATCAACATTGGTTTCGTGCTTGCTGCCGCGGCTTTCGGGATAGTGATGGCTCTGTAGGAGCGTATTGTTGGGTTTTTGAAATGTATCAGAGTCACGGGCAGTGTGCCATTCATGAAGCGTTATGTGAGGATTGGATATTAAAGAGACATGAATAATAGCGATTATTTGTGGATGCTCATATGGTCATGGCAAGAAACCTATGTATCTAGTGGCGAATACCAGTACCATGGTAACGCCAGAAGCACTTAGTGCTTGTTTTAACGGTAGCACAACCCATGAAACCGCCTTCTGCCTGCTTGGTGTCGTAAACTTTAAATATACGTGTTTATGGATTCTGCTTGTGATAGCAGATGGAACAGCTGCTGGTGGCGCCAAACGTTCTATGCTGTTTTGTTGTCCTACTGATAACGGGCTCACCTAGGCCCTCAAAGACCGTGATGTGTTTCTCTTAGTCGCATGGTGAAGGCCGCCTGTCGTACTCTTGGAAAACCCGTTTCATATGCGCTACTCACGCATATGTTCATGCATGTGCTCGTGTGGATGCTCTTCCTCGAATGGTTTTATACTGTGGCCATGCGGGAAAGATGCTCCTAAGACATTCATTAGCTGTCACGTTTGAGTGGTACAGTGGATTGTATTGACTTACCAAACTTCGGGTGCACTATGTAATTGTCTTGGTAGACATCTACCGTATTTTCACGAGCATAGTCCACAACCTTGCTGAAGTCAATGCACTGGTGAGGAGCGGTTTGGTTTACGATGGGTTGCGCGTCAATGTCGGTCCACATGTGAGTGATTAGCGAGACATCGCCTCGGCACATGGCTCCCATGCGTAGGACCTCCAAGCAGTGCACTGGGAGTCATAGACATTAGACAATACTCGAGAACGATGAACACATGTGGTAACGGTCACTCACTGTTGTGTTCGCGATTGATGTCAATTATCTTTTGTGTGGCATTCGGGAAGTAGTAATCAGGGAAAAGAGTTTGGTACAGACGTTTCTGCCGTTCTGTTAGTATATGGCACTATTCGTGACTCGAGGTTTGTCTTACTATGCAATGAACTTCATGATACACGCTCAGCATTCCTAAATAGCCTCCATCAGGAAGCTTCACTGCCTCATGCTCACGGCCATACTTCTTCACCCAGTCTTCTGATATACGTATGTTATTATCTGAATTTGTTAGTATAAGACAAAGGTTGATGGACTATAGCTGCCGACTCACACTGCAATAGATCCCGCCACGCCTTGTCCAATTCTGGTCTCGGCTCGCCAGTATAGATGCCATGTGGAGGCCCCTGAATATCGAAGACCTCAAGATGAGTCTCTTTGCCAGCATAATTGATGGGAGCTTTGAGACACGTCAATCAGGGTTTATGGTCTAGGTAGAAGTTCCACCATTTGATGACTTACAGTCAAGGAGGTTGAAGACTGAACTAAAATTCTTCACATAGTCTATTGACACCAAGAAAACCGTAGTGTACGTTGCAATGAGGCCCAGATGTAGGATCCACGGCAGCGCTCTTTTCCAAAATGATGGTCTTTGCCGGACGCGAATTTCTACATCGACATCATCGAAAGCTGATTTCTCAGAAGACGAAGACCTGTCCTCGTAAGGAAGCAGATATTCTTTCGATATCCTCTCTTGTTCCATGCTACTAATTGAACCAATCTTGAGTTTTCGAACAATAAGATCTCGAGGAACGCAGAGAAATTTGGGGGCAACCAGCTCTGACTGTATTCTAGACACTAGGAGAGGTCAATTGAGCTAGAGTTCATGGGTAGTACGAAGTGGCGGAACTTTCGGTCGATTTCAAGAGTCGGCACTGACTGACTTACCGCAAGAGGAAGTTCAGTATCATGACATTGTGTATCCGCCGTTTGAGCCCTTGCCACCGAATAACCCCTGGTCTAGACATGATGAGTCTCTCCGGATCCGCCTAAATTGTGTGACCGCCTTTTGACTCATTTCCAACTCAAAGACAAATGATCGATCTTGTTTCAGTGTCTCTCGACCAGTCAGTGACCTGCTTAGAGCGTTTATCTTGGCTATGTCAATTGGACTGGTCCTGATCTAGACATCTTGGAGGATTCAAATCCAAGTCGCCAAGGCCTGCCAAGCGCCTTATCAGCCTCGCGACTGGCTCTTCGAAGTCATGAAAGTCCCGGACTGACAAGCTGTGCCGCCGGCAGCGCCGCGCCACCCCCGAAGGCTTCAGTCTTGAGGCACCGAAACGTCGACACAAGTGCGGGGCGGCTCAACAACGCCCTAGATTGCGAGCAGATGTGCATCATCGGCCATTTCAAGAAGCTCAACGGTACCGAACATGCCCGTCCAGGACCTTGCGTAAAATCCTTCGACGCACTGTCACATGCATCGTCTTCTTGGCAATCGTTAAGCTACTCTCGGACTTGGAAGGTCAAAACCATTTCTTTCGAGCAACTGAACTCCTTATTCGTGGAAAGGGCTTCAAGGTCTGTCGTCACGATCTTCCACCTTCCTGTTTGATGGCCAATCTGACATATCAAGGAGTTCCTCTCCGACGGCTACCTGGAGTCCCATTCTTATTGAACGTTTCCCTCAATATGGAGCGATGGGTCCGAGGAGGTGGTACACTCGTTCCCGACGACAGTAGATTTCGAAGAAGAGAGAATAAAGTGTCCTGCCACTCCTTCACCTTAACTTTTCGCAGCAACCTTGGCTCAGGCATAATCGAACCATACGAGGGTCAGAATGAAGGTCGCTATTGTCTTGTCTGTTCTTGCCGCAAGTGCTTTGGCACTACCCACCTTCCGAAGTGCCCAGCGTAAGTATATGGGAAGACGATGCATCTAATATGGGTTTACTAAATATCGTGTAGCCGCTGGTGCAGCTCCTCGGGCGGACACCAGCGCCGATGAGTCGTACTTGCCGATGAAGGCTCGTGCCGACACTGCTGCTGATGAATCGTATCTTCCTATGAAGAAACGCGCAGACACGAGTGCGGATGAATCTTACCTGCCTATGAAGCAGCGCGCCGAGACGAACGCCGATGAATCATACTTGCCGATGAAGAAGCGTGCCGAGACCAGTGCCGATGAGTCTTACCTTCCCATGAAAGAGCGTGCAGACACCAGCGCCGACGAGTCGTATCTGCCCATGAAGTCTCGGGCTGAGACTAATGCGGATGAGTCTTACCTTCCCATGTAAATGAAGACTGAGGAAGACAATTGGACTGCCTTGCAACATTGTATCGAATGAGAGGAGCTGGATATCACGAAAACGCGCTGAAGTACCATTGCCTCAAGTGGCAACGTGAAGGAGAGTACGTGGTACTTATAGGTCAATTCGAAGATTAGGTAGATCGAGACGATTCTGTTGACTGCTGTCTCATAGTACCTTGCTTCAATCAAACTCACCGACGTTACTCTAAATATTCAAAAATTGCGAGAGTGGATACGACTTCAGTGATATTTCATGGCTGTTCTTGATACTTCCCGACCGATATTCAGTCAATCGGAGCTTGATGTCTTGAAGTTCCTGGGCTCTGCTCATCAGCGCATTATTCTAGTCGATGAGGGTCATGAGCGACATGTTTTGATAGACTCTTCCGATGCCTCAAAAAGGTTGCACGCCATCACTATTGACAACTTTCCCAACATATTCATCTCTTTCCCCTTCAACAACTTTGCGAACAAGATTTCCCCCTACTGATGGGTGCCCTGCTCCATGTGCCTCCAAATGCTCTTTGATACCACCCAGGTCTGTTGCCAGAAATCCGGGCGAAACACACCACACTTTTATACCATCTTCTTTCAACAGCCAATACCATATCAACATCATCATATTTAGAGCAGTCTTGCTGGAACGATAAGAGGCGAAAGATAGTGTAGTCTTAGGCCAACCCGCGTGTGGCGGCGGCGCATGTGCTGGTACCCAAGACTTCTCGAGAACTTGTAATGACGACTGGCCGCTGGTGAGAAAAAGAATTCGAGGATCGGACGATTTAAGAAGGAGTGGGATGAAGGTATGTGTCATGATCTGCGTCCCGGACACGTTCACATCATAGGCCTTGTTCCACACTTCCCGCATGGATAGGTGCTCGTTATCCGTATCAAGCGAGATGCCTTTCCTTCATATTAGCTCTGGATCTTCGCTCAATGATTCAATTCTACCTACCGGCATTGTTGATCAACACATCTATCAATCCCGATTTGGTCTTCACCTCTCCGAAAGCTGCATTTATGGAATCATCGCTCTCGATGTCGATCTGCATCAAATCGATCGTGCTTCCGCTCGTCGGTACATTCTGATGCAATTCTTTTATGGCGGCTGCTCCTTTCTCGATGGATCGGCTACCGAGGTAAATATGACAAGACTGACTTGACTGTAGCAGTGCCTTTACGGTTTCCCATCCAATACCGGTGTTGGCACCTGTGATGAGTACAATCTTTTTCGTGTCAGCCATGGTTGATTCAACCAAATCGGAAAGATAATTTGAAACACTGACGTTTGGTTGTAACTACTTACAGGGGACAGCCCGCCTTTTTGACTGCCTTGCTGAAGTCCAACTCTACATAAAGATGGCGTACAGGCTGTCTCGCAATATAACCGTGGTACTCCGCTTCAGACTCCTTTGCGCCTCTCATGGTTGGCTTATGGCCTAGCCTTCGTTTTAGTTCCGCAGTTGTCCCGGACTTTAGCTTGTGCTTGACCAATAAGCTTGATGTATATCATACATATATATTGACGATTTCAATGTCTTGAGGCAATGAGGCTTATCCCCGTCTGTGAGACACCACATTGGGGCGGCTTCGTGTACTGCATCTCGATCGGACTAGCGTACTAACACACTATCGCTAACTTACACGTCAATCTCGGTACAGGGACCGAAGATGACAAATGTTAAAGACTCTTGAACATGCATTATAGTCCAGAATCTGCGTACGTACAAAGGCCATACTTCCTAAATTACGTAGTTAGCCCTGTTTGCTTTCTATTTGGAAATCGATTGAGTAAATAACATTGCACAAGTTATACACCAGAGGCGGCCTGGCCGACAGAAGCAGTTATCAGGAGGATCCACCCCTGCAGATAGGTGACTAAGCCACTGACGCCTTGCAGCTTCCCGCTTCGCGCTCTCGCGCTTTCGCCGTTAACGGGACTACACCTCTCCAGACGATTTCACAGGGAGGCTACTGTTGAGACATTCAGCAAGCCTACCTCGCGTTTGAATTCGCGAATATCTGACAGCGAGTAGCCTGATACAACAACCATCGCTTGAGCATCTTCGCGGCACAGCTGTTGCCCTAAGCCGTCTCGAGGATGACGATTCGTAACGTCACTCTAGTGGGGGGTAATGGGACCCTTGGGACCGTGATTCTGAATGGCTTAGTCTCAGCGGGCACATTCCGCGTCACAGTCCTGAAACGCAGTTCTTCCAAGTCGACGCTTTCGCATGCTGATAAAATTCGCGTTGTGGAGATCCCGGACGACCTGTCAGTCGACAGTGTCGCGGAAAAGCTTAAGGGCGAAGATGCGCTGGTCGTGTCCATTCCAGTCAGCGATCCAGAGGAGCACATTCGCTTGGCCGAAGCAGCTGCTGCCGCCGGTGTTAAGCGCATAATTCCAGCCGACTTTGGCAGCGTTGACTCTCGCGGCAAACGCGAGAGGGAGCTGGTGCAGCTCTTCGAGAAGAAGGTCCGAGTTCGCGAAAGGCTGGAGCAGCTGGCTGCTGAGAATGAGAACTTCACATGGACAAGCCTAGTTTGCGGACATTTCTTCGACTGGGGCCTCAAGGCCAACTTTCTTCATTTCAACCTCGAGAAGAAGAAGGCCGAGATTATTGACGACGGAAACAAGAAGAGTTCACTGTCTACATTGGCCCGCATTGCGGAGGCCACTGTCAGTATTTTGCACCGTTATGACGTCACGAAGAATAAGATGCTATTTGTCCAAAGCTTCTGTGTTTCACAAAACGAATGTCTAGAGTCATTGAAGAAGGTCACCGGAAACGACTGGACAGTTGAGCATCTTGATTCCGAGGAGTTCATCAAGAAGTACAAGGCTCTGGCTGATGGCGGCGATAAAGCTGCTATTGAAGAACTAGTGTTCGTCCTGGGTGCTATTGATGGCAATTGGGAGCCGAGAGATGAATTTGGCATGAGCCTGCTTGGTCTGGAGAACGAGGACCTCGACACTGTTGTGAAGCGAGTCGTCGAGTCCACATAAGCTTTTAGTAGAAGACTGAGAGTACCTACTCCAAACTAGCGTCCGCTTTCGTCATGCGGAGAACCTACATAGACGTTCTAGACCCATCATTGATAAAACCGAGGCTTAGCATCTACAGGCAACATGGTATCGCTGAAAGTGAGATAAAATGGCTAAATGCTGATCTTATTCCTATTCAATTATGCTGATTCCGGGGAGTTCAATCCAGCTAGTCGGCGCTGCAAGGGACTACACTTACGACAGTGCTTCTTCTATGACTGCTGCTATGTCTAGAACCTTGGCGTCATATCCGCCTCCTCCCAGCACCGTAACACCGAATGGTAATGATATTCCACTGTCATCTGTGTACATGCCGGCTGGCACATTGACCCCAGTCATGTCCACGACATTGGCGTAGTGGGTAAAGGTTCCAAGGTGTGAGTTAAGACGAAGAGGATCAGCCACCATCTCTTCAATTGTGGGATGTTTCGTTGTTGTCGGAACTATCAGTACATCGATACCTCTAGCGAGTTTGTCAAAGATTTGCTGAACCTTGCGGGTGAGTCGGATTTGAAGTGACTGGTCTTGAAAGACATCATACGCGGATGGAGGATTTGCTAGCGCATGGGAGAAGAGGTCTTTGATAACAGGATGCAGATCATCGAGGTTCTGCTGAAGAAACTCAAGACCAATGCAAGCAATGCGCTCGAAGAGAAGAGATGCATCATAGAGTAATTTTCCAGCGTGTTCGAAGACACTGTAGTCCACTTCGACTAGTCGGCCCCCGCAGGATCGAATCTTCAGAATTGCGGACTCAAAAAGTGTTGCGTATTCTTTACTACAGACCTTGAGAGCTGATTGGGATGGAACTGCAAATGTGAAACCTCCTGCCTGAGGTCCCCGAAAGTCTGTTTGCCAAGTTACCAGCGTATGAGGGAGCTTCGAAAAGGGGTCGTCACGATCATGCTGTGCTATGATCTGCCATACTTTCCGTGTCTCGGATATAGTTGGTGCAATGACGGTGATTGTGTCTAGTGTGCGACATGCCGGAACCAACCCCCTCGCTGAGACTGTGCCTTTCGTGGGTTTAAAGCCGACTACGCCGTTGAAGGCTGCCGGTACACGACCACTTCCAGCAGTGTCGGTTGCCAAACCAAAGCTAACGAGACCAGCAGCAACGGATACAGCTGAGCCGGATGAAGAGCCTCCTGAGATATGGGTAGAGCTGTAAACACTATGAGGTACCCCGTAAGGTGAACGGCAGCCTGATAAGCCTGTTGCGAGTTGGTCAAGATTGACTTTCCCAATGAAAATACCGCCTGCATCTAACACATGTTGCACGGCAAGAGCGTTACGATCTGCAATGTACGCATATTGTGGACATGCTGCAGTAGTCTCGATGCCGGCAACATCAATTGTGTCCTTGACTGAAAATGGAATTCCGAACAAAGGCGGTAGGGGTTTGCCGGCATATTTCAAGATCAGCTTGTTGGCTTCAGCGAGGCACTTCTCTTGAGTTTCCAGATGGATCCACACCGCAGGATCGACGGCCTTGTACTTCTCGATTCTATCGAAAACACTTTCGATGACAGTCGCAGGTGTGCAAATCCCCATCTTATAGCGTGTCCGTAGCTCGTCGATGGACGGTAGTCTGCTAACGTCTAATTGAGGCGGAGTCGTGGGCGGCGTTAAAGGTGCAAGAGCTTTGCTCGTGGCCGTCAAAAAGTCGGAGCTGTGCCCGATATATCCAAATAATCCATCTTGGCCGCATATGATATCCAGGGACGTTGTCACCTGCTGAGCATCGAACCCAGCTGTACAGTCTTGGAGAATACAGCACTCGTATCCGCGATCATTGCATTCCCTTAGCGTAGTCGTCACACAGCATCTAGGAGTCGTTAACAGAAGACTTCAACAAGTAGGATATGGCAAGTCCTTACTCGGTAGTGACGCCAGCAAAGATCAAGTGAGTGATACCACGAGAGAGAAGGATTCGATGGAGATTCGTGGCCCAGAAACTGCCCTTACCTGGCTTGTCAATGACGACTTCTCCTGGCCAAGGAGTTAATTCATCAACTATATCATGTCCATATTCTCCTCGAACCAAAAGCTTCCCCATTGGCCCCTGATCTCCGATTCCCATTGTATGATGCCCGCCTGGAGCATTGATCTGGCGAAGTTTCTTGGAGGCAGGCAAGTCCGCAAGATCTGGCTGGTGCCCTTCTCTTGTGTGAATGACGTGGCCGTTGATCTCTCTAAATACGTCAAGTACTTTCTTGATTTTCGGAACAATCGTTCTAGCCTTCAAGAAGATTTCATCGTCGCCACACTGAATCGCACCGAAACCTCCAGGATCTACAAAGTCGCGCTGAACATCGATAATGATAAGACAAGTGGTAGACATGGGGAAGCTGAATGCGTAGGGTCGAGCAGAAGGAAGGTTGAGATTTGTATTGTGTGGTGTAGCCATGGTTATTGAGAATAGCGACGACTTCTAAGGCTTGCTCAAAATCTGTGTCATATGGCAGCTACAATGGGATAGCTTGTCGTGGCTTTTCTTTGCATAGATGCGCTCAGACTGCTGCTAAAACTGATCATCCCAGAACTAGATATCGATCAAAAGAGCTTTCAGAAGACAAACGAGTTTCTGAATATGTTGAGGAACCAAATTGGTATCATGTTTATCTTTTGATCAGTATGCAATGAAGTTATCAGCCCTATGCTTTCGGGCCTCCGGCGCTGTTATCGCTGCCGATGGTGATTGATAATGCTGAGTGCGCCACATTGATAAATCGGCAGGCGTTAAAGTCGCCGACGGGTATCTTGATCTGCTTAGATTATGCGGGGTAATTCAAGGGGCATCTCTCTTAACGGGGACAAGAATATGCGGCAGCCATGGATTAACGACCTCGAGACTTCTTCTGACGAACTCTAATTTGATTGATTCTTATTTTTGAAGGGGCATGAACTGGTCGGCATCTGGACGTGTTTGTCAATCCACTATGTGAGCAAATGGGAAGACGAACGCTACAACATACTTTTATTAGGTGCCTCCTCCGCTGTATCGCGATCTCCGTACACATGCTTCCATCTACACCGACGAGTTGTAAATCGTGAGCCACAACAGATTTCGAGATGAGCTCCTTAAGTTCGATACCATCTGATAAGCATTCAACGATGTCATCACAGGTGCCAAATTGGTAGAAGACATCAAGACCCCAGATTTCGGGTTTGGTGGCTCTGGGCGGCCGTCGGCAACACTAAGTGGCCTCTAACCCTTATCATTACCTAGATACTATTGGGCTGCACTTGTTGCTCAGCTTTGCCTGTGAATGGAGAGCAAAGGACCTCTGCAGGTTGCTTCTGATTGGACAACTTGCTCGAATAGGGAAACATTGGACTTGGATGCCTGTCCTGCTATTCCGTTTTCAGGATACCGCAGCTCAAGCTGAAGCGCCTCGTTGTCAAGTCACGGGCCTTGGAGATAGAGCCTTATCTTGCCGGCGGCCCGTCGCAGTGACACACCACAATGATAAAGCGTCAGGGTGTCACTTATCTACTCTACCCATGAAAAACCCTCTCCCAGGGTTGCCTGTCATTGGCTTCTGCCGTCGGTACCGACGCCATGGCTGTGGTATGTATCCCTTGATTGGGGGATTACGAAAAAAAAAGTCTTGATACATCATCAGCCTTCTATCTGTGGCTATCGATGCTTGTCTCGATTGCTTCCTTCATTTGAGCATAAATTGAGACAATGTCGCATGCGTCCATGCCTTTGCTCTTATCACATCTAAGGCAGTGGCTGGAAAGACTTATAGCCTACTCATTACGAGTAAAGTGACGACAGAGAGCCCAAGGCCTCTCATTGTGCGATTTAATGATGGCAGAGATGCTACGCGACCGAGCGGCGGCTATGAAAGCTGAACTAGAAGCAAAAACCAAACCCTCGGGATGGGTTCTTCCCAGGGAGAAGTCATCGTTCGCCGATGAGGGCCAATGGTAGGCATTTGCATGTTAATTTTAATAATATATGCTGACTTGACTACTTCCACTTAGGTCTAACATTGATTGTGATGTCACCCCGGTAGACCGCCGCACGTGGTCGGCCTGGACAATGTTTGGGTACTGGTTTTCTGATGCCCTGAACGCTCAAAGGCGAGTCTTGATCCACACATGAACGTGATGTGTCTCTCTCATGTCAGCTAACCATCTCCAGTTGGATGGCTCCAGCCAGCATCTTGGCTTTGGGTTTAACTTGGTAAGACTTTTCCCCCACTGCATGGCAGCCTTATGCTAACGTAATCGAAGGCGCGAAGCCGTCATTGCCATTATCTTTGGCTCACTCGTGTGCACTGTGCCTCTTGTCCTTAATGGAATGATAGGGGCACGACTCCGTAAGTGACTTTCAGTGCTCAACCTTGTTACAACCGGGTGTCGACTGTTCAACAACAGGATCTTGTTTACATATGGGATGTACTTTCCTGATGTCATAATGAATGCCTTATCAACCTGTCACAGACTTCTGAAGACATGTCTAACTCTCATATTATAGACATACCTTTTCCGGTAGCCATGCGGGCTTCATTTGGATGGTACTTCTCGCGCTTTGCTGTAGTGACTCGCGCCATCACAGCCCTCTTCTGGCACGCTATTCAGACTTACACCGGATCTACCGCAATGACCCAGATCATCCGTGCAATATGGCCTTCTTACCTCGACATTCCGAACCACATACCAGAGAGTGTTGGCATTACAACTCAAGGGATGGTCAGTCATTTGATCTTTTGGGTCGTTCAATTCCCAATTCTTCTCATTCCTCCACATAAGCTACAGTGGTTCTTCGTCTGCAAATGCGGTATGTGAATTACAATTTTCGGTATTATCCCGACTAAACAGCCCCTATGTCTAACATCAACAAAGTTCTCGTCATTGTTAGCTCAGTCGCCGTCGTCATTACGATGACCTCCAAAGCTGGTGGAACGGGCAACATCTGGAATCTACCCTATGGGGTTGATGGCGAAGCACGGTCTTGGCTTATTCTGTCAAGCTTGTCCAGCATTACTGGAGGATGGTAAGTATCCGCATTGCTTTCCTGTTGTTGTTGGATTGCTCACGCTTTACAGGGCCACCATGGTATGTTCAAGACACTACATCATGTGAAACAAAGACGAGCCAACCGCCATATTCTCCCCAGTTACAGTTTTCCCCTTTCGTGTATGCTTAACTGATGAAAACTACAGGCCACGAATATCCCAGATTTCACTCGTTATCTCAAGCGTGACACTGGAGTTTACTGGCAAGTCCTGTTTCTTCCGGGGATCCAACTGATGCTTGGGCTCTTTGGCATAATCTGTTGCTCGGCTGCCAAGGTCGTTTACGGAGAGTACATCTGGGATCCTCTTACCTTGGCTGCTCAATGGGATGGCCCTGCCGGCCGTTGCGGCGCTTTCTTTGTCGGCCTTACTTGGGTTGTCGCACAGATCGGTACCAACCTTTCTGCGAATGTCATTAGCTGTGCTAATGATATCTGCTGCCTCTTCCCCAAATACGTCAACATAAAGCGTGGAGTCATCTTGTCGACGATTACAGCGGCTTGGATCATGCAGCCTTGGAAGATCATACACTCAGCAGCGTCACTCCTGTCTTTCATGGCCGGGTTGGGCATCTTCCTCGCGCCAATCGCTGCCATCCTAGGTTGCGATTACTGGCTGATACACAGGCAGAAGATTGACGTACCCGGCCTGTATCGTGCTCACGGCCGATATCGCTACAACAAGTACGGCACTAACTGGCGTGCTGCGATTGCTTTCCTTGTGAGCGTAGTGCCTAACCTCCCTGGCATGTAAGTGGCATACTTCTCTTTGTCCCTCAAGGTTTTTTGTCTAATAGTTCTCGTAACAGGGCTGCTACCGTTAACCCGTCCATCGCACCATCTGTCGGAGGGGCAAAGAAAATATATTACATGTTCTATTTCTGGGGATACTCAAGCGCATTCTTGGTTTATGGTCTCTTAGGGTATTTCTGGCCAGAAAAGAGCACAGAGGTCGCAGCCACAATCTATGGAGATGATGATATTGTTGAGGCTGCAATTGGTGCTGGTGACTCGGAAAGCCAGACTGAGAAGAATCCCGTGGAAGAAGTCAAGGAAGACAATTGATGGTGTCGATTCACTGAGTAGCCGGCATATGGTGGTTCTGTTTATTTCATAGTTTGTCTTCAGAGTGAAGAGATGGACTTTTTTCGAGGATATCGTCTTGTTGCAGTCCTTCCTTAACCTTTCTTACCCACCTTTTGTTCGCTGAGTGCAGCCAGGGTATGATGATTCGTCATCCGACCTGCAAGGCTCATTCTAGGCTCGATGCATAGCTTAGCCACACGCTCACTTGGACCTTATCAAATGATTATATTTCCAATGATCGCATGTGCTTTGATGTCTGTCATAGAAGGCAATGCAGTCTTGACTTTAACACGCTTGCTGGTGTCATCGAGAAAAGTCCATTCAAATATGATTAGACCAAAAATTGTTAAATTAATCCCGACATCATAAGATATTCTACCTAGCAGCAAACTCTAGGCTGCGATCGTTTTATTTGCCTTCATTGAAGTAGTTCATAAGTAACGATATTGCCCTGAGACTTGCACAATAGGCCACACTACCGGCAGAAGGGTAACATTCTCAGCACCACGTGTCTGAAATGACAGATGATACAGTATATGAGGCCACTGCACGATACTGTATTATTGCAGCATGATACAACTAAATAGATTGATGTGAGAATCTAGGTAGGCAAGGTGAAGTTGCACATCTTCAAGCAGCCTAGCAATAAAAAAGGCTTTTGCACCCCCCTCGATGATTTAAATAATCGAACACTCGAAACTCTAACCGTGTATTGGCCAACCTAGACCGTGAACTCAGCTTATCGTTACATTATCACAGACAACTCACTAAGACGGGCCTTCTTTTGATCATTGGCTTCGAAGAGTCAAGCTACAAATTCATCGAGTAAGAGAATGATCATCAATACACTAAATCCCTAGTTCTTTGTTATGCCTCGTTCCATAGGGATCACTCAAGAAGCGTCTAAAAATATACGATGTCATGTTAGTTAGTAATCTGGGTACAAGAACCCCTGCCTCCGTGCTGTAAAATTGCTGATGTCAGACATTTTACGAATTGCGTGAACGTAACACGACAGTAGTTAAAGCTTTAAAATTTGAGTATTACAGCCAATGGCACCACGAGCGGCATGTATGCTGACGGCGACCCCGTTTGCAATGTAGCCGGTGGACTGAGTTTTAGAAAACCTGGGGTTCCACTGCTTTCTTTGGTTGGGTTGAGCGAGGCTCCATCTAGACAAAACCAATCCCAACCAAGCCGACAATACAATGATGACCCGATACCCGGATCGATGTCTGAAGTCAACTAGCAAGACAACAAAACCTCGTAGTCAGCACATGGTTGCCGTCAGGTCAGAGTAACAGCGAAACTCAGTCAGTAATTACCTGGGCATGACTCCATAGTAGTTCCTAAGCGAGCGGGCTTCCGCTAGTTCATACCGAAGCATGTTGGTCGAACGAGACTTGGCGAGGGGCTTCTTCGGCTTTCCCATGATGGCTACAATCTCACATCGTCTTCAATAATGCGGGCATCTCTGTGAGAATGCCTGATCAACTCGAAAGATAGGAATATAAAAGGGGTCTTACCCATTGCTACTTGCTCTTGATCAGGCAGCAAAGAACCTTCATACCTTGTAGTCAAAGAATACCAGGAGAACAACATTCACAATGAAGTCATTCTACTCCGTCACCTTTGCCTTTCTCCCTCTTATCTCGTCGGTCTTCGGAGCGCCTGGTTCAGGAGCAGAGATCGTAGCTCGCACGCCTGGAAACGTAAGTGTTATTACCACTATTATCTTCCGGACAGATCACTGAATTGAAGCCCAGGTGTATATTTGCACGGGCTCTGGATACTCCAACACATGTGATGTCAAGTCTTTCGGTACAGCCGGAACGTGTTTCCAGCTTCCCGAGCCCTGGTATGAAAGTATTGGATCCGCGGGACCGGACCGAGGTGCTATCTGCCGACTTTTTGAGTTAGTGTCCCAATGACTTTCGAAGAGGAATATGCTGATTTCATAAGCAATTCGTCGTGCACTGGCTCTGGTCTCGCCATCCTGACGTACCCTGGTGATGATAATTTATACGCTGAAAATGACGCAGGACACAAGGCACAGTACATCAGCTGTCACACCTGTACAGCTTGCCAGTAATTATGGTTGTGGGGGCCAAATTTTATTCATGTCGGATCCTCCAGAGTTTAGGAAATCAGAAGTATAGCATAACAAAATTTGACAATGTCAGACTTCAAAAGTACTTCTTGCATCAACTGTCAAGATGCGGAAGAAGAAAGCATCCAAAGCAAATCGATCGACTCCTTCAACAGATCTATCTCTTTGTTCTTTTGTCTGTGCACATGACTCTTATGCGGATGAACTCAAGCTCCTTGCAAGCATCAAGTTAAGTAAGTTAGACGAGGCTTTGGACTTCCTAATCATGTAGCTTGCCTAGGTAGGCTGTAGACAAGATTACATCTAGATCACCCATAGCAGCTTTCTCTTTAGGAGGGTAACCGATATCCAACACCACTTTTCATCACCTAGTTATTCATATAGCTTATAGAACATGTTATAAAAGATCCAGAGATTCATTATGGAGAACTGCACTTTCGGGGAGGGCACTGGTTCGCGGCTAATTGCACTAAGAGCACCCTTAGGTAGACTTGGCATCCAGTGGAAAACAGGTCTCCAGCACATATCATATCCTTGCAAAGAATGTTTCGAAATTCCGATCAAAGATTAATTCGTGAAGTTAAGCTCGCCCAGAGTAAAGGAGCCCGCGGCTTCATCCATTGAGACCCGCGAAGCGCTCTCTTGAGTGGGCATCAGAATCCATCCTGTTGAGACCAAGAAAGTACCAACTAAATCAAAGTTGCTCACAGCTGGAAAACTGCCTCCTCCCAAACTTCCTCCGCCAATGGCTCTCCTTGAAAGTCGCGCGGCCAAACAATGCTACTGAGCAGACTTTTTGCACTTCGCCATTCAAGGATCCCGGTTACTTCACTACACGTTCGGATAGCCCTGTCAAAATATTTCCGTAGTGCTTGAAGCTCTTTGTCCGATCGCAACGTGAAGCCCGGATCTTCATCATTGGCTTTGGCGAGTGCAAATGCGCCGATAAAAGCTTTCCACAACCAGAACTCGGAGTGATACCGTCCTTGTATCATGGCGGTCTCGGTCTGGCGGAGGTCTCTTCTGAGGATAAGCAATAATGACCGCAGGAGTCTTCCGTAGATAGCCTGTGGCCCGTTCCAAACACCCAAAGCAGTGTAAAGGTAGAGACCACCGGAAGTGACCATACCGCACCAAGAAGACAACAACTCTGGCAGCTCATGTGTTGTCATCTCGCAGTTGCTGATTTCTGCATGGGTTGCGCAATACTTCTGAGACTCCGAAGGCTCATGACCACAAAGCAAGATCCGACATATATCGCAGTCACTGGCCTTATTTCCTCGGATCTTGAGCGTTCCGCGAAGTTGTTGAAGCGCTGTGATAGCTCGTAGGTCGTCGATGGGTCCCCTGGCATCCACGCTCTTGACTAATTCGGGACGGCTGATGAAGAAATACGGAACAATGCACAGAGCGATCTATGAATCATGTGGTTAGTAGCTTTCAACGAGAAGGCTACATACAACGAGCACAAAGATGAACTTGAGGGCTTGCTTACAAGTCTGTCTTCTATATCTGACTTTTGCTGGTACCATTGGCTAGTGCATGGCTGCTCATGAACAATGCTCTCCTGAAGCCAGCCCATCGTGGCGGAAACACAGTTATTCGAACGAGGATATGAGGCATGAAGCATGTTTCGTCTCCGCTTCAAAACCTCCGACACGCAGACAAGTATGTACCGCTCGAGGAGCTCTCTCTCTTCGTTTTCGAGAGCTGGAAGATGCATGAGATCAGACTCGCTCATTTCGAGCAGCGCCACAAGCCCTTCTAGGTGAGCCTCTGCTGCTGGAAGATCTCCTAGACTGCTCTTCAGATTCGAGTTATGTTAGCTTTGAATTAGGACAGTGTGAGCCACAGGATTATTTTACCTCAGCTGCACACAGCGTCGCAATAGTTTTGAGGCAAATGGGACTCGTTCGATTCTTTGGATCTTGAATCCATTTGTTTACAATTCGGATCGACTCTGTCTTGTGTAGAAGGTAGGTGGTCTTGAAATGCTCTAGTGCGCCAACCTTCCAATAGTAATGCATTGCCGCAATCAGCATGTTACTGCGGAGGGCGTCTGCCTCGTGCATAACAAGAGCAAGGCTACAGACATCATTAGTCAAACAACAGGGATCAGCTTTAAAATGTGGCGACTCTGTAGTACTGACCAGTTAGAACTGTCTGTTGTCTCCCCAAGAACGTTGCGGACCTGCGCAACTGCGAAGATTAGAACACCAATACTTGCAATCTGGTAGGGATTTCCCCCTAGAGTAAAACATACAGTAGTGGAAAAGCTCTCTAGATTTCAATGGCATATTGATTGACATGGCATCAAACGGATCGAGTGCGGTATTGGCTGGTTGCCATACAACGACCCACGGCTCCTGGACCCCCGGCAGATTCGGCTTGCGTGACCTTCGCTCTCTGAGAACACTTTCTGCTGGAGGATAGTGACAAACACTTCCACTGGACAGCTGCAGGCAATTCGAGCTGAGTAAAGACTAGTCAGTGTCTGCTGCTCATGTAGCTAGTTCGCACACATGGCATTTCTTGTTCAGGGCGGCATTGTTAGCTCCAATGGAGGTGCCGTATATCCCGCCCAAAAAGGAAACAGGCACCTACCAGAATGGCCGACCCTCATCGCACCTGATATGACGGGTTTTACACTGAGCACAGCCGGCGCGACTCCTTGTGTGATACTTCCTTCTCCGTTGGTTGTCCATAATCGCTTCTCTAGTCATTATGATGTTACTCGTTTTCTGTTGAGAACCACAGTGGAGAATTCAGCCTGGCAATGCTGACTAAACGCCTAGGAAATCTGAATGGACATGTGAGCGAGCATCGCGGATTAGATATGTTTGTCGTATTGTACGGTCATGAGAGGAGG